TCGGAAGAAAATATGAATGTTCTAAAGCAATCAAAGCTTAAGTACGTTTCCTTCATAGATATGGATATCAACAAAGCCAGTGCTGCGAGACAAAGGGATAGTTTTGAGTTCTTAAGTTCGAAAATGGCTCAAGCACTGGAGCTTCATTTGCTCAAAATTTTATCTGACTTTAAGCTGACGTTGAAGATTATCCACTCCGAGATTAGCTCTTTGCTAGCCAGGAATGTCAAGTTGAAGGCCAAGAAGATTCAGAATCTCCATGCTATAGCCGAAAATGAGTCTTTGCTTCAAGAGATTGAGAAGGCCAAGGTCGATCTAAAAAAAATCTCCTCTGAAGTTATGGTTGAGGACTCTTTGATGATAAGCCTGACTATAAAGATGAAGGGACTCCAAGGGAGGATGAACGACTGTAAGGCTAGATTAGTTGCCCAGAAGCGTAATGCTTCCCAAGGAGTTGAGGGAACCAAGTTTTTGGTTGAGTGTTACGCAAAGCTTGAAGTTGACAAGGAGTTTATGACTGAGCTATCCACTGCTTCTTCCAAACAGAACGATAAATGGGGAAACATAGGGAACAAATGCGTTTTGCTTGGGGCAAACTGTAATTAAGACATTAATGTCCTTATTTTCCTTGTAATTCTGTGATGTCAGCCACTGTCAATTCAAATGTAATGGCAGCTAGGGGTGGGGGCGGGTCGGTTCAGTTCGATTCGGTTCGGTTCGGTTTTTTTCGGTTCCAGAAATTTTCGAGTATTTAGTAAATGGAACCGTCGGTTCCAAATATAATTTTGGAACTGTTCGGTTTCGGTTCTGTTCGGTTCAGTTCCGTACTATAATTAAATTTTTTAACATTTAAAATAATACTACATAAATACACTTGAAAGTGGATACCAATATTAATAACAAAAAGTAGATACAAATACCAAGTTCAATCTTAACTTTTACAAATTAACGTAATCTAATTTAATAACGTATAAATAATAAGTTGTCAAATACAAATACAAAAAAGTAAATATTACTAATAAAACTTCGATATTCATATCAATAATTCATTTGTTTCAAACTTTCAAGTCTACATAAAAGTGAAATATAAATTAGAAGTTACAAAGATAAAATATTTTAAAGTAGTGATAATACTTACCAACTATTTAATGTAATCATCAGTTAGTTGACTTTCCATACTAACTACTAAGAAACTATATAAGAAAAAATTGAAAAAAACACAACTAACAAACATAAATAAACTCTAAATTGTTCAACTAATAAGATTTAATAAGAAAAAATTATTAATTTGTTTAGAAAAAATAAAAGAAATTGATTTATGCAATATTAAAAAAAAAATCGGTTCTTATTCGGTTCTTCGTCGAGAACCGAAAACCGAACCAAACCATTCGATTCTTGATTTGAATACCCGTTCGGGTATTTCATTTTTAAAAACCCGTTCGATTCGGTTCGGTTCGGACATTTTGCCCAACCCTAAATTGGCAGCCAATTTCATTAATGGAATGACCATTTTATTTACTTGTGTAATAACTTTCGTATGGATTCTGAAATAGCATAATTGACGTTTTCTTCAATCGTCAACACCCCTAGACATTTAATTATTAAACTTGTGCCATATTCGTGCCNGCTAGACAAAGAGATAGATTTGAGCTTTTGAGTGCGAAAATGGCTCAAGCACTTGAGCTTCCTTCGCTCAAAATTTCATCTGATTTTAAACTGATGTTGAAGATTATCCACTCTAAGATAAACGCTTTGCTAGCCAAAAATCTATGTTGAAGGCTAAGAAGACTCAGTATTTCCATGCTGTAACCGAAAATGAATATTTGCTTCAAAAGATTGAGAAGGCCAAGGTCAATCTAAATGAAATATCCTTTGAAGTTATGGTTGGGGACTCTTTGATGATAAACCTGGTTGCAGAGATGAAGGAACTCCAAGAGAGGATGGACGACTGTAAAGCTAGATCAGCTACCAAGAAGTGTAATACTTCTCAAGAAGTTGAGCAAACCAAGTCTTTGGTAGAGCGTTACACAAAGCTGGAAGTTGACGAGGAGTTTATGACTGAGCTATCCACTGCTTCATCCGAACAGAGCGATGAATTAGGGACACTTAGGAACAGATGCGTTCTGCTTGGGGCAAACTGTAATTAAGACATTAATATCCTTATTTTCCTTGTAATTCTGTGATGGCAGCCACTGTTAATTCAAATGTAATGGCGGCCAATTTCATTAATGGAATGACCATTTTATTTACTTGTGTAATAACTTTCGTATGGATTCTGAAATAGCATAATTGACGTTTTCTTCAATCGTCAACACCCCTAGACATTTAATTATTAAACTTGTGCCATATTCGTGCCCATTTCCCCTTGTGGAATCTTTACACAAAACAAAACTTTTGGTATTCCAATTTTCCTTTTCAAGATTTGGACCTTCAATTTCGGTTACTACGCATGTAAGTGGTCATTCACATTCCGTCTTTTCGTCTTCACACCTCTATAAATGCGTATATGTTACACATTTGTCATCTTCATCCCCACTCTCCACAAAATCAGCTTACTTGCCATCATCTAGCATTCAGATAATTGATCAACTATTTCCTCTTTCAACAGAAATGGATCATTTGATCTTTTCTCTGTTTCACCATCCATTTGATATTATCTTTGGTATGGGAGGTATAAGAAACATTTCTTTGTTCAATAAAGGTATTCTCAACACCTCTTCTATTTATGATCTCTAGAGAGAGTTCTAGATGAGAGCCAATTGCTTATTGAGAGTGCTTCTTTGACCGTTTGCCCATCATTGCAGCAATACATTTAGGATGGCGACGGAGGCCAATCTGCAGTAGTTGATAGAAGAACACTGATAGCCTTCTTCCAATTGCGGGTTATAGAACATTTTGTATTTTGTATTTCATAGTTTGTAACAAATATTTGATTAATGGAAAATGTTATTTGAACACACTTCGTTCTTATTTTATTTGGACATAATTGTCCAATAAAACTGTTTACTTATACATCTATTTATTCACTTTTCCATAAGGAAGGAACCTATTTCTTTAAATATTTGTTATTAATAAATATTGTGTGCTTCGTGCCATCTAAATCTTCCAAATGGTAAGCCCCATTAGGCAACACACTCTTCACTTTATATGATCCTTCCCAATTGGGTGACCATTTACCATACTTTGAATCTTTACTATCCAAAGGGATAATCGTTTTGCAAATCAAATCGCCCAAGCTAAAAAACTTGGCTATAACTTTTTTGTTATAGAACTTAGCCATTTTTCGTTTTTGAATCTACAATCTATTTAGGACGTCCAACTTTAATTCGTCTAATTCTAATAAATTTTGCAATTAATTTTTTTCTTTTTCTTTTTGTTATATTTAAAGAGAAAGATATATTCGTCATATCATAATTTTTAATTGAGAAAATAAGTGAAAATGATATTTTGCGCAGTGAAATGTGGAAATAAGGGTGAAAATGCCAAAAAAATGAAAGGTATGTCCGTTTTCCATAATAACAATAAAATATACTATGGCAATTTGATATACTATTTTTGTCACTCACAAAAATATAATTTTTATATTGCAGAAATTTAGAAATAAAATAATAAAAAATAAATAAAATTTAAACAATTAAAAAGGAAAATGTAATGCACGAAAACATTTTTTTTTAGGGATGACAAAAAAACTCGACAAACCCGATACCCACGAGCCCCCGCCTCGAATGGGGTGGGGATAACCCGCTTAAACGGGTAACGGGGCGGGATGGGTAACAGAGGCCACCGCCACATGAATTTTTTTTTTCTTTTAGAATTCAATACTTTAAATGAAAATTTTTATTAGTTCTAATAGAAAATAGTAATGCCCAGCCCCGTTAAATTTTTTTTTTTTTTAAATTCAATACTTTAAATGAAAATTTTCATTAGTTCTAATAGAAAATAGCAACTAAAATTATTTGTCTAAATCTAATGAATATGAGTAATAAAAATAAATTATCAAAAAAAAAAAATTTAAATAGGGAACAATCGGGGAAAAGACCTACCCCGCTCCGCCCCCCGTTGTCATCCCTAATTTTTTCTAATATGAAATTAGGTGGGAATGGGAATGGATCGTGTCCATAGACAAGGCTCGACTATGGCCTTTAACTCGTGTGAATATGAGTTGAGTATGAGCTGACACACAAGCTCGAGAGCCAACTCGTGAAAATTTTTTTGAGCCCGGCCCATGACTCGCCTAAATATAAGCTTGAGTGATCTATAGATCGAGTTGAGATGAATCGAACCCGCGAATTAGCATGCAACTCGATCTGTTTGCCTAGGTGGCGAAAATATATATTTAAGTGTTTGCTCAGCTTTAAAATAATTTTAAATTCATAAAATTTTTCATAAGTCCGGTCCAACCTTTGACTGACAAAGAAGGAAATTTTCAAGTCTACGATAATAGTCCGGTGGGTATAATTTAACAAAAAATTTTTGGATTAAGCTATTTGTATATTTTGGTTAAAAAATGGATAATGTGAAAGTATTATAATAATTAGATTAAATGTGTGAGATCTGAAAGATGATATGAAATTGTTTTGAAGTGTAAATTCAGTAGGTTAGGTTGTAAATCAAGATAAACACGTAGCAAAATTGAAAAAAAATTATTGTACTAGCTGCGTTCTCGTTTGGGATTGAATAATTGTGGAAGTCAAGTCCTACTCCATTATTCAAATATTAAATTTCTGTCTCCATTTCCCACCACTTTCTCGAAATTTTCTTGTAAACGCGTTTGATCAAAGACTCAAGACTAACGGGTCTGAATGTTGTTTTTCTTCAACGAAGAATCAGTCTTCAACCTTTCGGAGTCTTCTCCATTTTCACTTATTAATACCATTCTGTTTTTTTCCCCTTCAATCACAATTCAAGATCATGGTTTTTTACTAAGTATATGATCCAAGGAAAAATTGTTGTGCTTTTTTATTAGGGTTTTCCAAGATTTGAGGTGGGTTTTTGTTAAAATGACGAGTGTTTTGAGAAGTTTTTTACCTGGTTCAACTTCGACAACCAGAAGTAATGATTGTGATGATGGTTATAGCGTGGAATACTCCTTTGCCATGGAGTACAGTGGTCCTCCAGTCAACCATGATATTCCCCAGGTATTGCCGATCGATGTTCGCCGGATTCCGACCGCCGCCGTGGCTGCTAAGGTCTTAAGTAATTTGTCGCTTCCGATTATTCAGCCAATTGTCAAGAGTAAACCCTCCGAGAAGAAATTTTCAATTAAACCTCCGGTTTCTGTTGTACAATTGGGTAAAAGTGGGAGTTCTGAAAAGAATTTTTCGAGAAAACTAGAGATTGGGGATGAAAATTCTAGCAGTTCCGGCACATTAGGATTTTCAGACGGGCAAGGTGATTCGAATCAGTTATCAGGAAGCTCCGATGTTGAGGATACAGATGACAACTGCAAGGCAAGAGTAGATTACGATTACGGTAAATCAACAGCGGATTTGCCGGAAATTTCTTCATCGGAAGAAGTCGGACTTAGAGATTGCGAGGATGAAGCTGAAGCTCCTGGCCCACAAATTAGATCACCGGTAGTGGATTTTCATGAATTTACAACGAGTGATGTAAATTCTGATGGAAGTGATAACGAACCGCAGATAGTCTTCCCGGAGAGGCCGGTGATATTGGATGAGGTGAAAGGGTTGTGCCATCGATGTCATAGGAAGAACCGATTTGCGGACAAGGAAGCTTGCATTGTCTGTCGAGCTAACTATTGCAGTAAGTGTGTGATCAGAGCAATGGGATCAATGCCGGAGGGAAGAAAATGTATTACTTGCATTGGTTATCGGATTGATGAGTCGAGGCGAGGATCATTAGGAAAAACTTCTCGACTACTGAAGAGAATCCTCGTTGACGAAGCCATTAAGCACATTATGAAATCCGAGCTTTCTTGTGAAGTAAATCAGTTACCACCTCATCTTGTATGTGTAAATGAAAAGCCTCTTACTATTGAAGAGTTGGTTTCTTTGCAAAGCTGCCCGAATCCACCAAAGAAGCTGCGACCGGGAAGGTTTTGGTACGACAAGGTATCGGGATTCTGGGGAAAGGTGAGTAACTGAGTGTTGTCTTGTTACATGATCTTGTGAAATTTAACAACGTATGATTCGAAATTTAGATAAGGAATGACAAATATGATTTGGTTCGACTGAACAGGAAGGAGAGAAACCGAGCCAGATTATCACCTCCCAACTTACGGTTGGTTATCAAATTAGGCAAAATGCTAGCAATGGAAACACGAATGTATTGATAAATAGTCGGGAGATCACAAAACGAGAACGCCGAATGTTGCAGGTTATTTGCTTTAGATATTTACGGTTTCTTGATGTTTGTAGTTTTCTATGAATGAAATCTCAGCATTTTGTCAAATTTTTGTAGATTGCAGGAATTCACTGCGAAGGAGACCCTCATTTTTGGGTTACTGCAGATGGATCCTATCAGCATGAAGGTATGAATTACGTGATGGGGAAATTATGGGATAAGGTAAGTACAAATTTGGCGGTCGATTCTCCCTTGTCTTAGTGATATTAACCTCAATCCCATCTTAATTCTTGGATTCATTTGTATTTTTCAGAAAAGAGTCAAGATAGCATGTAAAGCACTGTCTTTGCCGTTTCCTTCTGATGTTTCTAATCCTGGTGGCGAAGAAGTTGCCAACAATACTGGTGAAGTTAACTTAAAGAACTTAGATCGGAAACAAATAGCTAAGTTTCTCCTAGTTGGAGGTGATCAGTCGGGAACAAGTACCATATTTAAACAGGTAGTTTGTTGTTGAATTTTGTTTTCTTCCTTTTGATTGAAGTTACTAATTTGAAAAACAATGAAATGCATTTGTTGAAGTTAAACAGAGAAAAAAATTATTCTGTTAGGGGGTAAACTCCATTTGCAATAAACAATACTTTCACTCGACTTTCCTAATATAATTGATGAGAATATAGATGATCATTCACACGATTAACGAATCTGTTTAATTATTTTTTTGATTCCAGGCAAAAATTCTGTATGGCGTACCTTTCTCAGAAGATGAGCGTGAAAATGTCAAATTCATGATCCAAAGGAATTTATACAGTTACATCGGTATCATCCTCGAGGGTCGTGAACAATTCGAAGAAGATTATTCCATTGAAATGAGGAGACTACAACACATTGATCAACCTGGTCCTTCAGGTAAATACATAAATTCTTCCGCCACCAAAAACAAGTCGGCAGTTATCATTACTTGATTTGAGCAATTGATAGTTTAGATGTTCTTTTCAGAAGCATAATTGATAATATGCACAATAGAAAAGTGAGCCGAAATTTATGACCTACATTTCTTTTGGGTTTGGAACAGAGATATCTGAAGAGGTTGATGAACAAAATATTTATTCCATTAGTCCGAGACTGAAAGCATTCTCCGATTGGCTTCTCCAAGTTATGGTTTCGGGCAATTTGGAGGCCGTTTTCCCAGCTGCTACTCGAGAGTACGCACCATTAATTGAGAAGTTATGGAAGGACGAAGCCTTTCAAGCCACATACAAAAGAAGAAATGAACTGCATAAGCTACCAAGAGTCGCAAATTATTTCTTAGATCGGGTAAGTTGTTATTCGTCATCTCTCTGTCAGGTTGATACTAACTATATACATTTTTTAACACTAATAAGCTAATTTGACTTTTTGAAGGCTGTTGAGATTTCAAGAATTAACTATGAGCCTTCAGAAATGGATATTTTGTATGCTGAGGGCATCGCTTTATCCAATGGGGTTGCATCCATGGAATTTTCTTTTCCCATTTTATCTCAGGATGCATACATGGAATCTGATAATCAGAGTGATCCCATTTTAAGGTCAGTTCGCTAATCTTGCATAATTCATTAACGGATGCCTCACTTTTGGAAGAATTCAAGCTTGGTCAAATGATGGGGATCAAGAATTTAATTGAATTTCATTATTTTTGGATTCTTTCCTCTGAAGTTGTTTCCATGTTTGTGTAATTCTTTCTTAAGATTCAATTAGTAAACGATACGGTAATTCTACTGTGTATGTAATGAAATTTTTGAACATGTAAATTGGAAACCACCCGCTATGATTTCTTATCATTTTTCTTGTTTACATCCAGGAACCAACTCATTAGAGTTCATGAAAACAGCCTCGGAGGAAACTGCAGGTGGCTGGAGATGTTTGAAGACGTCAACCTTGTTATGTTTTGCATTTCCTTGACCGATTATGGTGAATTTTACGAAGACGCAACTGGAATTTGCACAAACAAGATGTTGGCGAGCAAGAAACTCTTTGAGAGAATCGCCACCCATCCATCCTTCGCCCAGAAGAATTTCATTCTGATACTCAACAAGTTCGACCTGTTGGAAGAAAAAATCGAACAAGTTCCTCTATCGCAATGCGACTGGTTTCAGGATTTTAGTCCCCTGATCAGTCTTCATCCACACAACACCACCACCCCACCTTTAGCTCAACGTGCTTTCCACTACATTGCTGTGAAGTTCAAACGGCTTTTCACTTCCCTAACTGGGCGCAAATTGTTTGTTGCACCGGTTACAGGACTGGAAGCTGATAGCGTTAACCTCGCTCTTAGATATGGTCGGGAGGTTCTGAAGTGGGACGAGGAGAAACTTACCTTCAGTATGAATGAAGATTCTGTCGAGAGCATCGAGGCTAGCACAACATAAATGTCGAACAGAAATAGCAGCAAGTAGTCTTTTCCCTCGTTACGGCATTAATAAATAAGCCAATTTTAGTACACATCCTTGTATTCGTCGAATAAGATGAGCATGGCATGATTTAATAGCTTTGTTAAGTGTGACAGATTAAGTTGTATAGACCATTGAAGTTCTTTTATTCTCTAAAATTCAGGAATGTGTTCATTTCTCGATCTTGACTGAAGATACATACATATATACTCTTTACACATACATAAAAAAAGATCGATCCCTCGTTTAGTTTCAACACGGTGCAAACCGGTCCATGAGCATAAACACGGTCGCTTCTGACATCGACTCCTCCCTTAGGGCTTTGGCCGGTGACTTGAGGGCGTCTGATGATGAAGTCGAATCTTGCTTTCGTTGTTTTCTTTCTTCTACTTCATTAGCTGCAGCCCGAATCAACGGATTTCGGGCTCTGACTTTTGCTCTTAGCTTTAAGATTTTTTCCAGGCACACATCGACCACAGCTGCCATTTCTCTATTCTCCTTTCCTCTCTAATTCTTGATGAAATTATTGAGATGAATGTTGTTTGTTATAGTATTTATAGAGTAGGAAATTGAATGGTACTAAGGAAAAAGAAGAAGAGAGAAATCTGTGTGTGGAAGCCCCTTGAATAATGCATATGGTCCCCTTGGATGTGAATATGTTGTAGGGATATTCCAAGAAACTGGCTCAGCATATTTTTTCATACAAATCCAAGATTAGATTCAACATTTAAACGCGGAAAAATTGCACCACTGGTCCCTGTATATTTTGCAACTTCTGGTCGACCTTCAAAACGAAGTATTTTGATTCTTAACCTTTCACGGTTGTTGGACAAGTAGATATCATCGTCTTTTTTACAAAAACGCGACTTTTAAAAATATTTGCCTCTACTTTGATTTAGTTAAAAATTAATTTTTTAATAGATTTTGATAAAAATTGTAAATTTCATACAAAGTGTGCTTTGAAATGAATTTTGGACTAACTTGCAAGTTTTTATAGGACCACTTTGTCCAAGTGAATGCTCGCCCAATGTATTGAGCATTACCATTGAATTGTATTACTTGTATGAAGACAAAAATGTCAACTTTATTATCGGACCATAGAGCGTGGCATAATTCTGATGGAGCCCCTTGGTTTTACGCCCACGTGATATGCTGGATGTCAAACCAAGAATTGCAATAATTTAGGTCATTCTATTTTATTTTATTTTCTGAAACTACGTCATTCAATTTTAGCCTATGTTTGATTTCGCTAAGAAAAATTGATAAAATTTAAATTAAACCTTATTCGAGTCCCATTTTTTGAAAAAAATAAAATAAAATCGTTTCGACTCCATTTTAATTACATTTTTCAATAAATATTTCTCATCAATACACTATTCAAAAATGCATTTTTTTTTTTTTTTACAAAAATGGTGTTCAAACTTGTAAAAAAGTTCATAATTATTCTTTTAGCACACATTTAATGGGGCTTGTAACTTTACGACCATACATTTCATTAACTTTAATCAAAATTTACTAAAAATATGATTTTTAGCAAAATCAAAAAATGTTGCAAATCTTAAAATTATGTAACGATTGTGTCATTATAATGACATATAGTCTCTCTCTCTCTCTCTCTCTCTCTCTCCCCCCCTCACCCTCACAAGAAATTTGAAAATAAGAAATCTCTAGGTCTTTAGTCTCTCTCTCACCCTCACCCATTTTGATCGATTTTGGGTGGCACCGTTTACGAGAGATTTAAAAAAATAGGTATTTGTAAGTTTTTGGATACCGATTTTGGATTATTTTTTAAATCACCCAAAATCAGTGTAGTGTAATTTTGATATGTTTCTCTCAACTCATAAATCACCGAATTTTGTCCGTTTATCATATTTCTTTTAATTTTACCATCTATAAAATAATTATTTTCGACCAACATATTTTGTTCAAAACTAACTTGTAAATAAAAATATATTAACTAAATAAAATTATTTACGAAAAAATTGTATTTTAATTAAAAATTTACTTATAAGTAAAATTTTAGTCATAAGATAAAGAAAAACTTTTATGTGAAATATTTTTTTATATGTAAAAAAAATACTACAAATGAGTTAAAAATTCACTTACAAAATATAAAAAGTTACTTATAAGAAAAAAATTAACATAAAAATACAAAATTAACTTATAATTGTAAAGTTTATTTTTAAGTAAAAAATATTAACTTAAAATTTTAATTAAATATTTAACTTCATTTAGTTTTTTAAAGTTAAATATTAACTTATATGTGAAAAAATTACATACAAGTAAAATTTCACATATGAATAAAAAAATTTCATATAAGAAACTATAATTTGAAATTCAACAAGGGACACATATGTAATTTTATTTTTTGAAAAAACTTTTAGAACCGATGAACATTAAACTTCCAAATATAGGTTGGATTGTTTTAAAAATCGCTACTAAAATTATACAAAATCGATCATTTAAAAAACACTCATAATCGGTATTTCGAAACTCCCAAGCAGATGTCACATTTTCAATAGACACGTACACAATGGAAGGTATTGAATTTTATTTAAAATTATTTATTCAGAGCTTCCTTTTTATTTTTTTCTTTCTTTCCCCTTTTTAGGTTTAAATTTCGTTAAATTTAAAGCGTATATATAAATAAAGTGCCTGAATATTACTAAGCAGCAATATCAAATTCTCAATTAAGGTTCTGTATTTTAACTCAACTTATACAAAAAAATCTTCTCCAGATTCAATTTCTTGAAAATAGACATATTTGTCTATAGCAACGAAAAAAGGAAGAAAAAGGACCTTTATTCCATCAGAGATCAAAATATCTTTCCTATGGCAAAAATCTCACAAAAGCATTATGATGAAAATGAGTCATACTTGAAAAATTTTAAAGGATTTCATTTCCTCAAGCATGGAAAATGATTGTATACTGAGACTGGGAGATGCCTCATAGATGGCTCGAATAACATTTTATTCGACGGTATTTAATTAAACAGAAGTCTGACTTGCTGACAAGGTACCGAAAAAATTATTTCTTGACTTCCATGGCTTTAGGTGACCCTCAAAGGTTTAGGTTCGACATCCAATTATCTTCATGAGCCACTTGGTTAGCCAGAGCTGAGCCACCTAACCAAATGACTTGACCCTTATTATTAGAAATAAAATTTAAATGGTATAAACATAATAGCTTAAACTTTTAGATTAAATTGTTCAACGTGGTATCACGACAAACATTTCAAGTTCAAATTTCATTGTCACCTATTTAATAAAATTGTGCACGTATTTATTCTTTGATGTGCATGTGAATGGACATGTCGAAGATAATATTTAAATCATATACATGTGGTTTTATGGCTAGCTAGTGAATTCTATCACTATGATCAAAATGGAAAATAGATGCAGAAATTCTTAATGATATTTTCAGATATTTAGTGATGTATGGGTAGGCACATGAGTCTTGGAGAGTGGATAGATTTATGGACTAGATCTGTGTGCTAAGGAGAAAACATATCATTCGCTATTGGTTTCTTCACACATTCTAACTCCACTACTCTGTTTCTGGACCTCCAAAACAACTTCCTGGTGGTATTCCAGGATCCCATGCCCTGAAATTTCCCAACTGAGATCGGGTCCAATACTTTATACCCAGTTGAAACCAATATTGATTGATTAGGTCCCACACAACCAAAATCTACCACGATTCGTTGACTAGACACAAATTCAGAGTATATCGTTCTAGCACGAGTGTCCATTAGGAATGTTTTGGTAGGAGATAATCTATCGGGAAAAAAAGCTGCCTACAATGTAGAGTAAAAATTACCTTCGAAAATCAACAAGATCCCAAAAACAGAAGAAGTGACAAAATAAAAAGAAAAGAACAGTAAACACACCAAAGTGTGTTGAGGTAGTAACAAAACAGTCATAAGTGCTACCTCTGTCCGACTAAGTCTTGGTCATTGATTACGAATTGGAAGGTGATTGAGTGGTTGATGAAAATAGCCATATCTCATTGTTACTTTGCCTTTGGGGGAAGTGAAAAAACAAAGAGAGCAATATGAGCTATGAGAGTTTATATTGACATACTTGGGATTTGGTTTTGTTTGGGAAAAGAGACATTGGAAGTCAAATTACATGACTTGATTTGAGTAGCATCGGTGGAATTGAAAATGTAACGCACGCACTCAAGAGTTAAATATACGATATGTGGAGTTTTAAAATAATTTTTGATTTTTGTGTCTCATTAACTTTGTGATTGTGATGTGCATTTTGAGAAAACATTGAATTGCTTATATCGAGTTGAGTGTAATTGTCTAGATTCTAGGCAAGTATCTATTATGCATATTCGAAGATGAACAAATGTTCAAGTTTGAGGGTGTTAATAAATGTGAAATTTACACTTATCTAATCCAACAAAAGTAGCTTTTGTTAATATTATTGTGAATGTGATACTTAATTATTTGTATTTTTTGGATTATGTTAGGAGAAAACTCAAGATTGGGTTAAGAAGGACGAAATTTGGATAAAACATGCAATTTTAGGATCAACTTCTACTTTTTAAGAATATGAAGGACTAAAGTGATTTACGTTGAAGAATTGTGGGCCTTGAATCAATGAACTGGAGAAGAAATCAAATATCAAGTGTCATGAAACAAGGGAAATTTTTCTAGCTGGAAGAAGTTGGCTGCAAAAAATTGGAAGTAGACAAAACCAATTAGAATTGTAATTGGAAAAGAAGGAGAGGAATTGTCAACATAAAGGGGACTCCTAATAGGATAAGGAAGAGGGGACGGAAGGTGCAGGAAGAAGAGAAAAAGAGATTTTCCAGATTTACAAAATCATCGATCATCAGCACCAAATTGGAAAATTAATCATATACCGTCATCAAATTACCGAGAGATTTACACTACGCAAGAAAGGAAACAAGAAACAATTGTTGAGATTCGTGTGGCGAAGATCAACAATAGCTTGGATGATTTATATCTTATTTATCGTAATTAAACCCGATGATCTTTTAACATCGATTTGTTTTATTTCGAAATTATAAGTGGATAAATACTTTTCATGTTAGGATGAATGATGTAGCTTAGGATTTACTCAATTTTTTTTTAAAATTCCAAGACCATGTGTCAATATTATAGGTGTTAATTAATTATTGTGTGTTTAATGCGTCAGTTGCTTGATCACCAATTGATTGAATGAAATCGAGAAGTAATGTAAGATTTTAGCTCGTGCAATAATTAACATGGATATTTTAAGAAATCGAGAGGTCAGGGGGCGGACGCATCAAACTATCATTCAAATATTGATCTCCGATTCGATTGCGTAGACTATTTTTGACACAAGTCATCGCAAAAAATACTGTTGGCATCATTGGAGGTTTATCCACTATCTCTACACTTACTTTCTTGGAGAAGATGGTCTTTTTCAGTTTAAAGAATAAACAAAGAAGGTTTTCCTTTCGTCATCTATAGTGATCCCGCAATACTAAAACAAGAACTCTCAGTTCATCGTTCTATGGTCTACGCAAAACATGTCCCAAAAGAGGTAAACCATGGACTAATAATTGAGAATTTGAGGGGGGAAAGAGAATTTTTGGAGAAGTCCGGATTGAGGTGCACTGTTATGTCATGCCGATTGCCGTGTCTCTCATTTGTGGCATGAAGAAGTCTTTTAAGGGATGTTCTGTAATTTCCCTGAATATATTTGATTGTGTTGCAAGGAGCTTAAAGAAGCAAAAATGAAGCCACTTGAAGCATGAAGTAGTATTAGAATTGGGGTGCTGGCTTCAGATTTGTTGGCTGGTTTTTATCAGAAGAAATTACAGATTCAGGTATATGAATCTTTTACTGCAACACAGATTTCTCTCTCTAGGCTTGTTGAAACTTTGAATGTTGATTCCTTCTCCTTTCATAAAAAAAAAAAAAAAACTTCAAAATTTAGGTGGGGCACGTGCCCCCTTAAGCCACCCCCAGGTCCGCCCATGCGAGAGATAATTATAGGTTATGAAGGATTGAACAATTTCTCTTAATAATGTTAACCTTTTAAAATGAAATTTCAAGTTTTAATATGATATTAGAGTCCATTAAACTCAAACAAACAATTCGATCATATTAAGACTAAAAAAGCATACATATTTTAAGATCAGTTTGCTCAAACAAGCTACCATCTTACTGAACATGTTAAGGGATAAAATTTCACATCGAATAAAGATTAAAATATAAACCAATTTATAAGGGTCTGAGTTACTCATTTTAATAATGTTGACCTTTTAAGGCATATGTTTCAATCCCACCCTTCTCACTTCCACTGCTCTTAGTCAAGGTGTTGACCCCAAAAAATGAGCTCAACAGAATTTCCATCACATTCCCTCCACGTGGACATCACCTGCACACTGAGCACCTCATTAGAAGGCAAATGCCGCCGGTCAAACAAAAGGTCCGGCGACCGTTCGTATTCCGACGGTGAAGTCAGCTGCCGGACGAGGAAAATATAAGTGCAAAAGAGAAAGAAGGAAAGGGGATAGGGTTAGAGAACGTACCTTAAATGAGATAGATCACGCATATATATAGAGAAGTGAAATGTAAATGGGCCATACTGTTTATGGGCATTGCCCAAGCCCAAAACCGAGGCTTTGAGACTCTTAGCCGAGACACTTTGTAAGTGGATGAGGCCCTTCAGCCGAGGCTCTTGTAAGTGGTTGAGGCCCTTCAGCCCAGGCTCCTTTAAACTGAAGCGCATAATGTCTTTTTAGAGGACCCTCTAAGTCAATGCCACGTCGGCAATGTGGGGCCCTTCCTTCAAGATAGTGCCACGTAATTTACGGGAGTAACACAAGGCTTATGCTGGAATGGAAAAGGAGATGTCGGGGAGGAACTCCTCAAAGAAATTGTTAGCAAAGGCATTTCTCCCAATGACAATACTTACATTTCTTTGATCGAAGGGATTGGAAATGCTGATGAGTTTTTGTCCAAAAAAGGTCCCAATGATGTAAATCTCGAGGGCAGTCAAGAACCACTAAGAAAGCCTCTCCAGTAGCACTGTATCAATATTTTTCACTTATCAATTCTTGATCTGGAGGAGCCACATAAAGAGAAGTTCTTATTCTGAATTCAAATAACATGACAGTGATAGTTCACTTTCAATTTTGCATCTGTAACTGCAGGTGAATTGTAGAGGTACTTGAAAAGTATTTAACTTGTCTTTGAAGTACGCGGACTCGTTCTGGTTATAGATGTATTCTTTGCATCCTATTCCCTATTGTTGTATAACTTGTACCTTTGAGGTTCAATAGTTTGAATCTTTTGCGTCATACTCTCAGTAAAATAGTTATTTAATGTCTTTTTGCTAAAGGTTTTGTAATTTCTACGTGTAATAGTCTAATAGATCTTGACAAAATTTGGTATAAGTGACGACATATATTTAGCAAATGCTATCATATATATTTCTACTATTTATGTAAAGTATGTATTTATCCAATGTAATCACCAACCAGGTCAAATTTTACTATTTAATTTCTCCCGATTTTACCAAAATATTTTAATTAGATAATCCATTATTTTATCGAATTTAATCCTAAATGATTTTGATTGATTAAGATGGACATAGACATGTTCGAAGGCACCAACCTATTGTGGATCCTTATGGTAAGGACATTTTCGAATGAGGTTCAGAAGTCCGGCCACAAAATCCTTACTTTGTCACTAGAACCAGGAAAGAGCGGCAGAATGGATTGGTAAGGTCTGCAGCCTTGTAAATCATTTACTTGGGCTAAATTAGGTTTGGACAAGCATTTATGCAGTTGAGTTTGTTGTTGCTAATTACAGTTTTTCTCGAAAGCAAGTTATTAATGTACCTTTGCATCTTCTATTGACTTGATAGACTTTGCCTCGCAGTTCATCCTCAGACAGTAGTCAATGATTTCCAGGTGACCCTCCCTACTGAGATGTTTCTAAATGATCCAGAAGGGAGAGAATGGGAGACCAAACTTATCATATGGAAGTCAATTTAGCACTTATGGTACAAAGGAGATTCGAAAAAAAATGCGTATGCGAATCGAATTATTCTACATGTACATCAAAGTTTATATAATGCCAAAGTGACATTTCATCATTGATTAGTAGAAAAACTACATGTACATGAGGGTTTTACACCTTGGTGTAAATAATGTCCAATTGATATTTCATCATTGGCTTGGACATTATGTAAACCAAGGTGTAAAACCCTGATATACATGTAGCAAAACCAATGCGAATTTGTCAAAGGAGAAGGACGCCTAGGCCTTCGCTTGATATCCATATTTTCAGAGCAATAGAGGACTGAATGTCCAGGTGTTAAAGTTTCTTGACATTGTTGACAGATATCAAGTTTATTTAAGGGACGTAATTTATAGTGTAGGCTTTTTCACTGTTTTAAGTTTGCAAAATGATAATTCAGAATATCGTTTATCTTGATAGTGTGTAGATATGGATGTATGCAGATGTTATAAAATAGAGGAACACCCCTGGGATTGGGACGTCGTGGCATAAGCCCAGTGCTGGGGCAGCTCGCACAAGCCAAAATGAATATAAATAAGCTCCTATTTGGTCTGGATTAAAATCTGATTTTAATTCAGGTTAAAGTCAAACAATTAATATTAACTACATCTTTCATGGGTCCCAGAACTTTGCAACCACACATTTCAAAAACTTCTACAATCTTCTAAAAATCTAATTTTAATTTCCACCAAATACCCTCTAAATTTGAATGGAAAAAAAATATCGCAACCATAAATTTAGTCTGTCTGACCCTGCCACCTTGGGATGGGTCTATGGATCAAGACAGATCACAAAGAAATATGCGCAGCCTGGCTCCAGTCCGTATGTTTAGTAAAATTATGGAGGTACTTTGAGAGGTATTTTCCCATTTCTTTGGAGCCTGGACGCGTTCTGGACGTAGGCGCATTTTTTAGCATCATCCTATTCTATTGTTGTACAAGTTTTGTACCAAAAGTCTGAATCTTGTTACTTGTACATGATACGCTTATTAGAACATTTATTGAACGTATTATTTTACAGGTTTTGCAATTTCTACCGGTAATAGACTTGTATGAGGTACATATATTGAGCAAATGAAGCATCAGCTAATTGAAGATGGTAAAAATGATTCATTTTAGTTGCAAACCATCTGATATTATAGACTCTAGGTATCTACGGCTGCCTTTGCTGTTATGAGTAAGAGAGGACAACAAGGTTTCCTAGAAATGATTGAAGAGGAAAACCAAAACGCAAACAATTTGAAAAAACATAAATCCGATCTCGCGCTCAATGGATAACAGGTTTATTGATAGTTGCAAACATAAAATGGTTTCAGAAATTTAGGTGAAATTAACAAAAACATTGCAACAGAATATCATATAAAAGCCCAAAAGCCTACAGTATATGTCCTTCAACAAACTTGATATCAGTCAATAGAATCAACAATCTGACTCCCAGACATTCAGTCTTTCTACGCTCTGACGACACTGACATGTATATGCAGGCCAAAGCCTCCAGGCCCATTTTCTTCGACAAATTCGCATATGCAACTATCCTCTTCACTAGCAAAGTTTACTCTGCACAGATTAATCCAACCTCCAACGTATGAAAGGCGCCCGCATTTCCATTTGGAAAGCTTGGCCGGCCATTTTCTATTTTGTTGATCAATGAAATACGTTGAACTGGGGAGGGACAGCTTGAATTTATTGATTATTGCCTGGGGGATGAACTGCAAAGTGAAGAACATTAAGTTAACACGGAAGGCAGTAGTGTTTATTAATAGGGAGAAAAAAACTATGATTATCAACGATCAACTCAACTATGCAAAACTTACAAATTGATTTGGCCGTTTTTTCATGATTTTAGTGACGAAGTAAGGTCTTTGTGGCCGGGGAGCCAAACCTGAAGTGAAAATGTCCTCACCATAATGATCTACATGGGGTTGGCTTTGTCGAACATTTCTAACTCCAACTTAATCAATCAAAAGCATTGGGGTCAAATTCATTAAATTATATAATCAAAATAATTTCGTAAAAATCAGAAGAAATTAAATGTATAGTTACCATTAGCCACTACTTGCTCAGCTTCTACAACACCATCTTCTTCTGTTTCTCTTTCTTCTTCCTCCAGCAGGATGTCATCGCGCTTATCATCTTCATCGCTGTCAATATCATCCTCTTGGCTAGCTCCATCTTAGTCAGTTGGTACCATGGGTATGAAAAATTGACAAAATAATGAATAACATAATTATATTAATAGGGAAAAAATGGGTAAAAATAAATACACAACTTACAATCAGCCACTTCCATTTCTGCTTCACCATCTTCTTCGTTCTCATCTTCAACAGTATTAACAAAATGTCCAACACCCTCCATATCACAACCTGACAACCCCATTAGTTTTACATCAAATAGATTTTCCCCGTCGTATTGGAGCACAAAGACGACCCATGATTCCACATAGTTATCTTGAACAAATTTTTCCCAGCCATCTTCAAAAAACAAGTCATTTCCAATTTTGGCTACTTTCACAGGCCACAGATTTGTGTAGCAATCTCTAAGGAATGCCCTCTCTGGTATAGCTCCTTGTACTTGTAAACCAAAGGCCTTTGGAAGTTTCTACAAGTAATGTGTTAAATCGAATTAGATCATAGCAAAACACTTTATACATGAAAGAGTCTTTTCAGTTTAATGCACAATTTTTTAACTGACATATATGGAGTGGCATGAACCTGTTTTTTAGATCCTTAATTACGTGAGAAGTTTAGCTTCGTATACTTTAAAAGAAAGAATTAAATAGAAAAATAAATTAATTTCTTTGGCTTGAGTGTAAGCTTTAAGAAACTCAGTACCAATTTATGTTGATTCTTGAAAATTGTAATTGGTATTTTTGTAAATCAGATCGCAAGCTTCCTTTAGTACTATAGAATTTGATGTCAAGGTTGAACCCCAACCTTGAGGGTCCCGCCCAGCCCCGCCCGGCCCCACCAGCATTGTGGAAGAGGTAAATCGCGGGATGTGCCTTAACAGGTCATGGTACAAAAATTGTCATACTGGTGCCCACAAAGAGTCCAATTACATACCTTGTAACAGGCAGGAATCGAACCCTCACACTGCGGCTGCCAACTCAGTTGAGACTACCCCACTCTTGTCCTTTACACCACTGAGCTATGCCTCAAGGGCTGATGTCGTCTTCAAGGTCTCCAGGCTATTTTTACCTAATTCTAGACACACTAGACTTGATGACCAAAAGTTATTTACTTTCTACTCACTTTTATTTTTCAGTTCACACGATATGAAGGCATAAAATAAACTCCCCCTCAATTTTCATTATACTCGACCATTACTACACATGCAAGGAAATGCTGAGCATACTAAATCCTTGTGTTTAAAAATGAGATAAAACCACATGAAACGGACTGTTAATTAAGATTGAAACCAGGATCCCTAGACTAAAACTTAATTTAATAAAAAAAAATTGAAACGTGGATGGATAAATATATATACTCATACCAATCTTTGTATGCTGTTTTGAGGATTGTAGCACTTGAAGAATCCCACTGTCTTTGCCATCTTGATCTCTTTGTCTGTTCACGGAATGCGAAACATTCACTGGCAACTCAGTGTATGAATAATCAAGATCCAACTCGCCAAGCTAAAAAATTTTGACTGTTAAAAGAAAACAAAAAATGGTAAATGCAAGAAATATATTAATAGATACACCTAGTTCTTTTTAGCTATTTGAGAGTTCGTCTAAGTACATATTGGGCAAAGCTTAAATTTTTTTAAGTTGGTCAAACATATATTTTTTGTACAAATTTCGCCGTACCCATTTGCTATCCACACATTTTGTAGGATCTACAATTAAGCACTAGTTAGATCTAAACACAAGCAAATAAAGTAAAATAAAATAACAAAACATTTATTTAATGTGAGATCAAGTTTGCAACTAAAATTGCAAAAGTTAGTAATATAGTTTGCTAATTTTATTAACATGAATCTTGATTTTATCTGCAAGATTTTCGAGTCCCCTCAAGACCACTGGGGCGAGTATTCGGCCGTAAATTTCAGGGTCTCGTGGAATTAGTTGAGGTGCACGTAAGCTAGCCCAAACATCCACGGTTATCAAAAATAAATAAATTATCTGCAAGATTTCATTTACTGTAGCAGCAATTTTGCAAAAATAAATAAATAAACAAATCAGTAATATATTTAATAATGAGAATTAGTAATTTTATTAGAATATTTAATTAAATTTATTAGAAACAAGCTAGGAAGCACGCCAAACACAACGAGGCAATTCATGAAATACGAGATCATCGCTGTCCGAACACTATAGCTAATAATAAGTGAATCATATTAGCTATTTGTCGTCAGATTGGACGGTAAGGATCATAGAAAGGAATATAAGTTATTCTTGAAACTAGTTTAGGGCACTTCACTATTTGAAAAACTCCCAAAAAGGGGTGAGATTTTTGTGAGGGATAAGTAGACACGGCGTGTAAGCATCCGGCCCTTTCACACATGACACGTCCAATCCACTTCAATGATTTATGATATTCACATCAAGTTGGTGTTGGAGAAACTAGACTATTTGGTCGTATTAAACCCTAGAATTATATGATATTTACATCAACTTCGGCTTCAATTTCCTTCTTTAATCACCAAAGTAAATGCATGTTTTTTTCCTAATTAAAAATTGTAGCATCATAGGATTTTTAAACAAATTCAGTGTCATCATACTTTAAACAAACGACAACAAACAAGTTAAATGAAGATTTAACCAAATAAAAAATGTAAATATTAACAAGATCGAATCATGATATATACCATACCTGAACGTTTTGAGAGTCCGAGCCCTAGTACCTGTTTTTAAAAATAGACTTGTAAGAATCAAAATTAGGGTAGAATGTACGAGAAAACCAGATGTATAATAATTCTGCCCCAAAATTTTAGCAAACAAATCAAGAAAAAATAGTACCTCTATGAAAACGAAGCAACTAGAAACTTCAAAAACAGAAGAATCGTTCTCCAATTCACCAGATCTTTACTTGAGGAGAAGAGAAATAAAAGAGTTTCTGAAGTGTATTAATTTTGAAGAGAGGGGATCTGTCTGCGGCAAGAGTAATGCTATTTAGCCCCACGGGGTTACAACCCCAATCTAGCTGGCTTTAAATGATAGGTTAAATGAAAGGTGAAATTAAATAATTTTACATATCATTTAATGTCACATTAACGCCAGTGGAGCTACATAGCATTAATCCTACGGCAATGGGTTTGATAGAGAGAAACGAAAGGTTATGGTGCTATTTAATGAAAAGTTTTTGGTCAATTTTCATTAATTTCTCTTTATTTCTTTGGTCGCAAATGGTTTAGAATTTTGTATGTATGTATGCGATATGGTTTATAATCTTAGATTTATGTAATAAGAAAGATGAAATTTATGAAGTCAGCGGTTACTTTCAGCCCAACTACACTTTGACGATACCCAATGGTCAAATTTTGATTTCTTCAATTTAGAATGGATTTAAATGACAAGAAAGTACCTCGGACTTCCATTAGTAATAGGTGCAGCAAAAAGAGAGTTTTTGATGGGGTTAGGGAGAAGGTGCTGCAGAAACTACAATTACAGCGCTTGAATTTTTTCGAAGAAGTTGTAACTAAAGTAGTGGTGCAAGCAATCTGAACGAACACAATGAGTTTTGTTAAGCTATCAGCAGGCTTGTGCGATGACTTGAAAAGATTTTTGTGTGTTGTTTCAAAAATAAAGGGGCGACAAACAACGTTTTGCACACTCTTATCGACACTAGCAGATCCACGATGAATATTGAGCATGTGATTTATGCGTTGATGTGAATTTTTGATTTAAACAGTTTAACTTAATTAAAATGCACAAAAAAAATATTGTTGAGATTTCAAATAATGGATGGAACTTAGGGATGAACAATTTCATCTATAGATCACATTTAAGTCCTAATTCAAAGTTTAAGAGCCTAATATAGTGTTCGATCGAATTCTTCTATGGTATTCAATTTACTCCTCTCGAGTTCTCATTGAGCCTATTTAGCTATTTCAATCCCATATCTCTATGTGAAGATACCTTAGTTAAACGAAATATTAGTTCTAAGAATTCATGTATGATCGCAATATTTAGTATAGGTATCTCTACATGTTATACTAATTTATCGAATTTTACTATATGGTCTAAAACTCAAACTTACATTTCGATTCGTAAGAAACTCACATAATCATCAAATTATTGATCAGGTAATTTAATGTATTAAACTCATAATATTACTAAATTATCGAATTTTACTATATGGTCTAAATCTCAAACTCACCTCTCGATTCGTAAAAGATTCACAAAATCATCAAATTAGTGATCAAGTAATTTAATGCATTAAACTCGTAATAAAATCAACACTGGAACAATAAAATACCATAAAATCTTGAATAAAAGACATAAAGGTTTTCACGTATATTACATCGTTCGCCCTAATATAAAGTTTAACTATTCATGCTAAATGAAGAAGAAAAACTAAAAGTTGATATTGAGTATATCACCGGATTTTGAATATAGATGTAGAAAAAGAAATAAAGCTTGCACCAAGATCTTCTTCTTCCAATCAATGTTTCAAAGCTTGAATTCCTTGATGTTTTCCTCCCTTGAATTGTACTCTTAATATCTCGTTGTATCTTTGTTTTGTCAATGTTACTAAATTATCGAATTTTACTATATGGTCTAAATCTCAAACTCACCTCTCGATTCGTAAAAGATTCACAAAATCATCAAATTAGTGATCAAGTAATTTAATGCATTAAACTCGTAATAAAATCAACACTTGAACAATAAAATACCATAAAATCTTGAATAAAAGACATAAAGGTTTTCACGTATATTACATCGTTCGCCCTAATATAAAGTTTAACTATTCATACTAAATGAAGAAGAAAAACTAAAAGTTGATATTGAGTATATCACCGGATTTTGAATATAGATGTAGAAAAAGAAATAAAGCTTGCACCAAGATCTTCTTCCAATCAATGTTTCAAAGCTTGAATTCCTTGATGTTTTCCTCCCTTGAATTGTATTCTTAATATATCGTTGTATCTTTGTTTTGTCAATGTGTGGAACCCCCTAAAAGTGCGCCATTTTTTCTATTTATACTCCCCTACACGTTCACCCCAAATTTGGAGTTTTTTTGGACTTTTCGTGGCCCAAAACAACATAACCCTAAAATTTGTGACGCAACGCCTAAGCGCTAGGAGGTAGCCTAGGCGCCGCATTCCCTTCCTGTGTAGTGCCTAGGCGCTATGAATGTAGGGCTTGGGCGTTGCATTTTTGTTTTTGCTGTCTCTTCGCAGAGCGTGGGAGCTGAGTCGCTGTTCTAAACTCTGCGTTTGTTTCAGTATTTTTATCATAACTTTTTCTCTCGATATCCGATTAAGGAAATTCAAAATGAGTTGGAAAGATAACTCAAAGGGCTACAACTTTGATAGAAATAGCTATTAATCTCCAACTAAACATCTGAACATTCTTATGCGGTTGAAAATTGACTTTTGAAAATATTTTGGCCATATTTTCACTCATTTTGACTTTTAATTGTATCCAATTGACCCCTAATATTCTCGAATCTTCATAGTGAGCTCCAACACAACTTTTGAGTATTTTCAATTTAGCCCCCAAACTTTGGATCTTACCATTTTCGTCATTTTTTGCTTCTTTCTTTCAATTTCACTTACATTCATCGAGTTTCACCTAATAACACATTATATAATAAATTAGACTATAATTCCATTAAAAAAATTACGAAATGTCAATATTTTAGAGCCAAAATAAGTGTATAAAATACACTTATCAGGTCTTTCGAGCGCCCGTCCAATAAAGTGGGAAATTTTTTTTTGGCGGATCCAGCACGAGCGGCCATTGGTGCTCGCCAAGTACTAGATCCACCGATGCTCATCACATGCTGAGAAAGTAGCATTTGATAACTCGGAGCTTACCCTATTGTATAATATTTGGACGTGTGTAGTATCACAATGAAGTCGTTCAATGAACATTAATTTTGTGGTAAATTATTTTAAGGATGCTAGTTTAAGAAACCAATAACGATACATTTGGTATTCAAGATTAGAAGGATCATGTAGATATAAAGAAAAAAAAAGTGTCACGTTCGCTTTCACTCGACCCAAATCTTACACGCGCTGCACGTTTAATTTTATGTTCCCTTCACCTAGTTAATACATTGCACATGTGTAGACATAAAATAATTGTTTTTGTTGCGTTATTATTGAGGTGACAGATTTTTTTTTTTCACATAATTTATTTTNCGGATTTTTTTTTTCACATAATTTATTTTACAAACTGTTATAAACAACGAAAAAATACCAGATAATTCTGATACTAATTTGTTGTGAAAATAGACGAGAAATAATGACACAATATGAAATAATTAATCACAAATTCAAGAAAAAAATAATGATTCGAGAAATAGAGTTTCATTAAAATATGGAAAAAGAATTACATTGAATTTGTGTTTTTGATTTGTATAATTTAATCTAAAATATAATGA